CCCCAAAACCCCAAAACCCCAAAACCCCAAGATTTCGACAAATTATTGAACTTTAAGTGTAAATTTACCAAAACTCTTAAGGAATTAACCTGTTTTTTAGGATTATGTACTGCTTCACTTCTAACTGAAGCTGCTGGTAGAGGTAGAAGAAATCGTCACTGTTCTTATATTGCTGGTAAACCAGGCTTAGCACAGAGAGGCATTCTGACTGTAGGGAATCGAACATCTCTGGTGTAGGGTTTTCAAGGTCAGGGAAGAGTGAATTACAAGAAAGACGCTCGTCACTTCCTGAAGAAAGGTGGAAGTCGATGATCTCTGCAGCCTTTTCTCTCATTTGTTTGGTCACTTCGAGGTTGTCAGAGGCTTTCTTGAAGAATCTGATTCTAACGAAGCAATCAAGATATTTGACAACATTTGGATTATTTGTTTCTCACCATTCATAGAAAGTACTGAATCCTTTAGGCTCAAGAATAGCTGTCTGAATGTGCTCGATCCTCTCAGGAGAGGATGGCAAAGAAGGAATAACTCTTTTATTTGTCAAAAATGGGATAAACACAGAAATCCCAACAGAAACAAAGAATGTAAATGTTTGAAGATAAAATGAAATTCTGTTAAAGTGCATAGAATTCGGATCTTCTTGAGAAAAGAAAAAGATTCCAATTGAGTTTCTTACTATCCCAGCTCCGCCTAATAAAAAGAGTATACTTCTAACTTCAGTCTTGATGCTATTATGATTTAATGACCTAAAACTTACTTGAAATCTGCTGGAACTTTCATCAAAAGGACATACAGAGTAGCTATTCCATATCAGTCAAGATTTCTCATAATAATGTCGATCAAAATTGTAGTATAAAGTGACTCATCTCCTATCCAACATAATCAGAATGAGCTGTTTATAACAGGGAGGACCTTGTAGCTTCCAATGATGAAGAAAGTGGCCATCAAGGCTATTGGAATCAATGTGAAGAAACATGCTAGCAAAAAGAACTGCCATTCTGTATCAAACCTAGTAGATAAACTAAATTTTCTTACCATAAAAGCCAATAATACATCCTATGAATAAGTCTTGTGGCTTGAGGTTTTCTGATATCTTCACTCCTCAAGCTTCGCTCAACTGTATCCTCATTCTCCTTCAATAAAGCAATGGTGTTGCTTTCATCATTACCCTTGGAAATACTTTCTGAAGAGTAGAGACCGATATCAGCTCTTTTGAATAGAATTACTAGCCGTAGAGCCCTTGTCATGTACGATATGAAGAGGAATGGATAAAACACGTATTGATCAATATGCCCAAGAATTCAGTTTGGCCCTCCGGCTCCAAACTTCCTTCAAGAAGCAATACCTGTAAGTATCTGGCATAGAAGCATCGATACTATCGAAGATATCAACAAATTCGGAGATCTATACAAAAATCTCTCATCTCCTCTATACCTCATCAATATCCCCAAAGCAGCAACTATAGCCCCCACTCAGGCCCCATAGAACACATAATCCACCCAATCAAATATAAAATACTCTCTTCACAGTCCACCTGCAAGATTTCCTTCCTTCATCCCCTTCATAAATTCCATATTCCCCAAAATCCTTCTATAAAAATAATACAAAAATTTCAACTTCTCAAAAAATCCCTGGGGTTTTGGGGTTTTGGGGTTTTGGGGTTTTGGGG